GTATGGATTAGATGGATCTGGCTCAGGATAGGGACCAGGGGAGGGCTCTTGTGTACAAGGTAATGAACCTTTGGGTTCTATAAAATGCTGGGAAATTCTTGAGTAGCTGCAGATTTGGTTTCTCTTCAAGAAGGGCTCAGCTCCATAAGTAAATAAGTAAGTGAGTAAGTAAGTAAGTAAGTAAGTAAGTAAGTAAGTAAGTAAGTAAGTAAGTAACTAAGATTTGGATGCCAGCATAAAATTTATAGTCGCCTGGAAAATTTCCTCCCATCCAACAGGTAGAGGAACACAGCTCAGATGATGGCTATGAAGTCGAAAAGGGCAGAAAATATACGGGGAAACACGCAGAACCAACCACAACATACTCAACAAACATAAACCAAACATGTGCTTAGATACGAAGGCAGGATATAACATAACCTGAATGAAACATCTAGAAGCATCTGCGATATCAAAAAGAAAGCAGAGAAGACTCCTTGAACACACCCTGTATTTATGATGATGGCTGGTTATACCAAAACATGTTTTGAAGTAAAGCAGGAAGAAAAAACATATAAATCTAGTGGATATTGACTGAGCTGCACAAGGACAAAAAAGAATCAGAACAGTATTCAAGGAACAGACAGAGTAAAATCTGACAAATGTCCAACACCAACAATCTGATAAGAATATGTTTACACTAAACATGTATTAGACTTCGAATAAGTCCATGCAAAATCTGTAACGCTGATTAACTGGTTATTAAAATGCACGCAAAATATGTTAGAAATGTTTCTATTACTTACTAAATTTACATAAACTGTTCAAAATGAGATACTCCATGTCCAGTGCATAACACTGTAACTCACAACTTTGAATCAGACCATTCCTGTTAACAAGACAGTATTTTAAATTTACTGGCTTTAGGCCAGTCTGTACTGAGCTGAATTGTAAGGTATTGGGAGCAGACAGGTTTATGGCTATTGAAGAAAGTGTTGTAGCATGCCTGCTGACAGTCAGAATTTTAAAGCCAGGAAAGACAGCCACTGCTAGTGAACATCTCTGAAAACACACCTGTTGCTAGGCAACCACGGTGTAAGCATGAGACAATACCAGAGCCATCGCTAAGCAATGTGTGCATGCAAAAATGGAAGAACTGTGGGGAGCAGTGTTGCAGTAGCTAATCCCAGGGTCAGCTCGGGAACACAAGAGGAAGGGGAACATGACAGAGAACACTAGTCTGTGTGACAGCAATTTGTAAAGTGCAATCACGAGTTGTGTCTATTGACGTGTCCAATAAACCCAATTACCAATCCAAACCCAGCCTATCATCACTCAATCACTGAAAGTTCGTAAATTATGCAAGTAATATTTACATTACAGGAAACGTTAGTTCATCCTCTGCTTAATTAAGCACCAAGCTATGTAGGTATATGAACACATTATTAACCTTGGCATTAGACGGTGATGGGTAGTTGAGGAAATCACCTTTGGTATCCAGTGGTTAGAGTACACTGGGTGGAGCAGCTGGCAAATGTGGATGTGGCAGCAGAAAGAACAATTCCTGCCCTGCCAGAAATTGAGATCTAGTCCCCTGCATGAAACTATTCTGTCCCATAGGTTTACAACAACCAGCTCTTGTCAGAGCACTCCACAGCAGGTGACAGATCCATTAAGCTTCCCAAAGACCTGTTCATGCAGATGGGATCAAGTTTCTTAGTAATTTTCGTCACACTACTGCTCGAAAGCAAGCACAAACTTCTAAATATGCAGTGGATTTTTAACTTTTAAGAAATTTTGATATTTGTGTTTAATTTTGTTCAGTAACATGCAGCACACAAAACAGATACAATCATACCAACATACAAATGTCTTCTCAAAAATTAATAATTTTATAGAAATTTATTTTGTTAAGTATTACATGTTTATAAAGCAAGCAGAAGTTCCAAAATTCATGCATCTTCCCTTTACCCATGTTTAATACCATGAGGTTCTAAACTACGTATCTTACATCTTCATGGAACACAGCCTTTCTTTTCTAAATTGATTACTTAATGACATTGTCAATATCAAGACTACAAAGCATGGATTGGATTATTTATGAATATCGAGCAGATGAGAGAACAAACAGGCAGGAGGAACAGAAGTACACGAGAAAATCCACCCCAGTACCACGTTGTCCACCACAAATCCATCCAATGTGACCTGACCTTCAATCAAACCCGGGTCACAAGTTCTGAAGGCAACAAATGTCTCGGCTATGGCACGGAAGAGCCTTCTCGATAAGCGGGTAGTAAATCAGCTAGCCAAAATATTCCCCACATCTCATGAGACCATGAATTCATTAATGCCATCACCAGAGCTTGTCTCTCAAGTGGTCCCTCTGCTTTAGGTTTCCCAGCTAAAATTCTGTAAACATGTCTTATCTCTCTTGTGTGTGTCATGTGACTGGTTCAGTACTCGAACTGGGACACACACAGACAGCATGGAGATATGACAGACCTCCTTTTTCCCCAAGAAAAGAAACTGGGTTAATAACAGATGTGCCAGTAGGCCTACGTGGTCTGTCCAAAAAGAAACGGAACTTGTTAGATAGGGCACCAATGAAGCCAACATAGGTGACTCGCAACAGTGGCGCTGTGTAGCGGTGACCTTAAGCTTTAATGTGACACCTGCCCAATCATGCCATGTCAATTAGTCATCGAGTACATGCAGTAGAGTGAACCTGTCTCTTGTGCCTTTTGGGATTGTTGCAAGTTGAAACATAGAGGACCTTGAAGAGTAACATGTTTGCGTGATATTCTCTTTCAAATTGGCAAAAACTTTTACAGAGATTTTTCAGATGTTGAAGCAAGCTTATGGAGAGGATTGTTTAGGCTGTACACAATGTTACGAATGGTACGAACGTTTCAAATCAGGCAGAACGTCCACCAAAGACAATTCCAAACCTGGACAGCCTTCCACATCAACAGACGATGATTATGTTCAGAAAGTATGTGCTGTGATTCGTGAAAATCGCCGCCTAACTGTCCATGAAGTTTCTGAAGAAGTATGCATCAGTAAAAGTTCGTGCCACACAATTGACTAAAAGCTGGAGAGGCATCATGTTGCTGCATATTTGTGCCACATCTTTTGACAGATGAGCAAAAAGCAAAAATATGTGGTAACAGGTGATGAAACGTATGTGTATGGGTACAATATCAAAACAAAACCTCAAGCATGGCAGTGGTAGGAAAATCGTCACTGGAACCAAAAAAAGCATGTCAGAGTCAATGTGAAGGTAGGTGTTGTTGATCGTTGATGGGAAGGACGTCGTTCATCGTGAGTTTGTTCCACGTGGTCAGTCAATGGACAGTTTTACTTGGAGGTTACGAAGCGTTTGGGTGAGGCGGTGAAGGAGGAGGCCTGAGGGGTGGAGAAAGAAGACCTGGATGTTGCACCACAATAACGCACCTCCTCACATGTCACTCCTAAATTTTTGGCCATACATGAGACGACTGTCATTCCCCAACTACCCTACTCTCCAGATTTGACCCCTGCTGACTGTTTTGTTCCCAAAGTTGAAATCCACTCTGAAAGGTCGCCAATTTCAGACGACAGAAGAGCTAGAAGAAAATTTGCTATGGGACCTATGCACTATCCCACAAAATGCGTTCCAGGATGCATTCCAGAACTGGAAAAAATACTGGAAGCGGTGTGTAGACAGAAGAGGGGAGTACTTTGAAGGAGACAAGTCATATTAAGTTGTAAGCTTAACAATAAATGTTTTAAAAAGAAAGTTCAGTTTCTTTTAGGACAGACCATGTATAATGACAATTGCCTGAAAATGGGAGTACAGGAAACTCCCAGCATGTTAGGTATATATATATGAACGGACTATGTCTAATATACCAGTGATATAATCAATCAGCTGTTATCACAAACATTTACTGTGTCATAACACTTACTTTCAGCACTTTGAGACCTCAAATACCTGTACAAACATTCCCTTGAAGTGATTCAGGTAGCTTCAAGTCAGAAATCTCCTTTGCAGTGTTATATGCTGCCACCTGATACCAAAACTGTTGATCAATCTCATTTGTTATTCTGCTTTGAATCTCGACCTGATAATCGAGTATTCTGATATTGGAGAGGAGTCCTTCTTGCCAAGTGGCCAGTCACTCAGCCACTCAACAATTTCCAAACATTTCATGGAACCCAAAGGTTCATTACAGTGTCCATAAGAGCCTTTTGTTTATCCCTATTCTGACCCATATCAGACCAGTCCATACCACTCCATTCTATCTCTCTAAGATCCATTTTAATATTATCCTCCCACAGATATTGCTGTCTTCCTAGTGGTCTCTTCCTTTCTGGCTTTACCAACAAATCCTAGACTGACTCCTCTTTTCACTCATGTGTGCTACAAGCCCTTCCCATCTCATCATCCTTGATTTGATCATGGTACATAAAATCTGAACAATGAAAATGATAAGTAATAATCATAACAAACTAACCTTCTGCAATAACAATCATAATTAAATTCATTGGCAAGTAACTGCCGAAAAACCTTAGGGATGGAAATTTCAAGATTCACTGTGCACATCACTTTCTTGTGTCTTGCATAATTTGGGCTATCCAAGAGAAATTCAATGCCTGATTCTTTCTCTCTATACAAAGAAAGTTTTGCAGGCATTAGACTTATAAATAATTATGAAACTTGATGTTAACATAGAAATGAACTGTTGACATTGGCACCTTGCATGAATGTACACAGATCATAACAAAGGAATGGCAATTCTTCTGTCTCAGTGTACCGTGTCTGTTCTCTGAATATTGACATTTTGATGTAGATATGTTAAGTGTAGTACAGCATATTTATGCACATTATTAGTTGGATATGGCGTTAAAAGTGGTCCTCGATGCATCATTCTACAATATAGGCCTAGAGAGGAATACAGCAGAAAGCAGAGGAATTTAAGAGAATGAAAGCTTACATTACACATGATGAGACTTACAGAATATTGAGGCAAATCACTTACCAGGATATCGCAGCCTGTGTTCTAGAGCTGTGTGTCGCCCCAGATCGAGGTATTTTTGCTTTTCCTCTTCTGTTAAAGAATGCCACATATTACCAAGTCTGAAAATCATGAAAGGAAACACTTGTAAAACTAGTCAGATTCTACGAGGTTGTGAGGGTTGGTGCAAGAACATCTTCACTGGTACTACAGAAAGAAGTTCTATGGATGGTATGGATGACTGCAGTGCAATGAGGTGAAGTAATCTACTGTTGACCCTCGCCAGCGGAATTATTCTTTGTTTCAGGACCCATCATGGCTCATGACCAAATACTTATTTCTTCCAAGAATTTTACATGTTTCAAATGGGCCCTCTTCTTTGACAGCACTCAAATCTTCCCCCTTTATCCCAATGTTATATTCCCCTCCATCCTCCTGTGGCCTATGTCAACCAGAGGACCTTGTAGCTCTTTCATTGAACAAACGTAAAACCAAATACCAACCGAGCGACCGCCGCTTGTCGGCAAAGCGAGTGCTCTTTCATTGAACCATCCATCCTCCTGTTGCTTATGTCAAGTGACTGCCGCTTGTTGGAGAAGTTAGTGCTCTTTCATGGAACCATCCATCCTCCTGTGGCCTATGTCAACCAAAGAACCTTGTAGCTAGTAAAAGTCATCATATTGTTATCACCACTAACATTCTTGTGAACAGAATGTTCAGACAATCAAAGGGGAGTGCAGGCAATTATGGCAGAGGGGGAAGCATAGCCAGCTGGAAGGAGATGAGGAGAGGTTCGATCCGTGGGACTTCAATCTGTGGCATCAATATAGGCTCTGTCTACTATATGAACACACCGCCTCTGTGGTCTAGTGGTCAGAGTTCCTGGCTACAGATCCAGAGGTCCCAGGTTCGATTCCAGGTGCTACCAGAATTTCTGAGAAGTAGTGGGTCTGGACCAGGGTTAACTCAGCCTCATGAGGACAACTGAGCTATTTCAAGAAAATAGCAGCTCCGGTCTGGGTAACTAAGATTAACGGCCGTGGGGATCTGCAGTGCTGACCACGTGATACCCTCTATCCGCAAAAGTTGGCACTAACTTCGTTGACAAGTGGCAGTCGCTCAGTTGATACAGGTCGCTTGCAGACTACAGGCCATGGAGTTTTTACTATAGGAACAAGGTAGCATCATCAGCGATGTAGACCATTATGACATCATTAGAAAGCTGCTGAATTCTATTTTAACGTACTTCAATTATTCGTACATCGATTGGATTTTCAGACCTATTCACACATTTTCTCCCTCTGATTTGCCTATACAAGGTATGACGTAGCCTCACTCATACAGTAGGTGGGAGGCTACAAGGTGTTACGTGATTGCAGAAAATGGTTCAACATGTGCTTGGTGAGTGGAATGTATGAACTCGCATAATATAGGGAGCAGAAATAACATATTCAGTTCCAAAGTCCCTCCTACACTTGCTGTCAGCTCTTTCATTGAAGAAACTCGAAATCAAACTCTGTGGCTTTAGTCCGAAGTGAACTATACCGACCGAGTGACCAGCGCGTGTTGGCGAATTTAGTGCTCTTTCATTGAACCATTCATAATATGACTAGTCTCCCTATGCGTTCATTGAGATTACTGATAAGTCACTGTTTTTCATGTTTGTTTATTATAGGACGAGGGTGGTCATATACTCTCATTATTTATAGTAAAGAAAATTATGTATTGGCTTTTATCATATAGTATAATTGTAATATTGTGAATAATAAATAAAATGTAACAACACTCATTAATATAGGACAGAGGCATTCAGTAATTTGGTAGGTACCCTTGTGCACCTTCATTCTCAGAACAGAGAGTACTACTCCACCATACTGCATGGGACATTGTTGGACCATTTCAAGGGTGTCCCAAGTAGAAGCAACACCAAGTGGTTCTTGGAAGTCATTAATTAGTGTTTCCATAACGCTACCATGCAACAATCTCCTTTACACAGCCCCGTTTTCTCTCAGGGTAGCAAGACCTTGTGACCACCCTTTGCTACAAAGATGGCATTTAATGTAGTCAGAAATTAGTTTAATTCTCCTATCACAAATGTCGGAGCAGGGATAGCTCAGACATTAATATTGACTGGGCTAGGGGCTGGATGACTGAGGAATCCGGGTTCAATTCCTGACAGGATCAGTAGGTATTCTCTTTTCCACATGTCCAGACTGACTTGTTTATCAGGGGCTCTTTCCATAGGGGTGAAGCTGAACATGCTTCCATATGTTTTGTCACTATTAAGAACGTGTGGAAATATCCACATTCTTTTTCACAGTCTACTTGGTGTGGTGCTTAATTAAGCACAGGGACAACTTAGCTTTCATTTTGTGAAATATATCACATATTAAACACGTCAGGGAATGTATTCATGGTATAAGAATAATAAGGGTGGCAGTCATACAGGCTTGAAAATTCATCTGATTCTGATTATGTCATTATACTGTTTAGATGACTTACATGAAGGTCATGTCTTTCCATCTGTGAATGACCCTTTAGTTTGATGCATAATATTTTCAAAAAACATTGCCATTCAATAACAATGTTGGATGAAATCCAACAGAAAATAACAGACAATTTACATGAATACCTATATGCATTTCTGTGCCCATCTCAAGGACGACTATTTAAACAACTATCGGTTCAAGAGATGGCATAAGCAAAAAGTGTAGAAAAAATTAAACACACAAGTTATGTTCAGTGCATTTCTTCAGATACACAAATAGTTAAACAGAAAAAATTGTTGCTGTCTCATTCCATGCAACTCGAGATCTGTACAATATTCATAAGATAAAATATATCAGAAGTCTTGGCATAAATTTGTTGAAGGTCTGAATACTTGCGACCTAATATCAGCATCTGAACAGCTGGACAGATTTTGGAAGAATAAAAAGGGAGGGAGGGAGAGAGAATATGGAGACTTTCACAAAAAATTAATGTGCAAGTTCAGATTCTCAGCCAGATTACTCCCATAATAAAGTTCATTTAAGGTCATATATGGAATTTTTTCATGTGTTATCACCAGATGCCAATTAAACATTATATAAACACCTTAAGTAATTTTAATAAAATAGAAGGATAACCATTCGAAATTTTGTGCAGTACATTATGGAATACAGTGCTTCCACTCTTACTTGACTTAATATAATCTACACCAAAGTTTCTCCTGCAACTTATTCTCAGATGACTCAACAAGCAACTGATATGAATTAACAGTGGATTTCAGTTAATTACTTTCCTTGCTGTTTTAAAATTCTCTGCATCTGGAACCACTTCAAAAATACATTAATTCTGTATCACCACAATAATTTATAATAAAGATAAATTTGTTCCTGTGCTTATCTAAAATCTAAGGCCATGAAGACATGGGGGAATGGAGGAATTGTTCCACCACTGTTGACCCTTGCACTAGATAGAGGTGAGTGGTTGGTCAGCTTCATGCAGCAGCAGCTTTCCCTCCTGGGGAAATAGTCCCCAGTACCCACTGGATAGGAGACACTGGTGGGCCCCAGAGCCAGTCAGGGTGTGGAGAAAAATCTGTCATCTCTGCCCAGAATTGAGCCCCAGATATCCAGCCCACAACCCATCACTATACCGATTCAGCTATCTTGCCTCCAAATCATTTGTATCAGTAGTGAAAGATGCCGCTTACCGTACGCTGATCTGTGTATTTCCTTCTGTGGGATATAATGTTGCCAGCTTCTTCCGCCATTCTCTCCCAAAAATTATATATCCATTGGGTGGACGGGGGATCTTTTTCTCAGCACCAGAAGCTGGCAATCCATGTTCCGAAGGCTTCATCTAGGGGAAAAGGAACAAAACATTCTGTCAGTGACAGTGGTCCACAAACTCTTTCATTCTGAGCCTCTCTTTATGGAAAATCCCTATACAATACTAATTTAGAATTCATTATATGTGCCCATATAAACATAAATTATCTTGTTGACAGTAATAGGAAAAAACAATTAGACACCTTGTTATCTTCTCTTAACCTCTCTAGTACAGTCTACTTTCCTACTTACTAACTTACTTACTCATGGGGCTGAGCCTTTCTTGAGGAGCAGCCAATTCTGCAGTTACTCAAGGATTTCCCAGCATTTTATGGAACCCAAAGGTTAACTATCATGTTCACAAGAGCCCTCCACTGGTCCCTATCCTGAGCCAGATCAATCCAATCCATACCATTCCATCCTATCTCTCTAAGATCCATTTAAACATTGTCCACCCACCTACGCCTTGGTCTTTCCAGTGGTCTCTTTCCTTCTGACTCTCCCACCAATATCCTATATGCAGTCTTGTTTCCCCCATTTGTGCTACATGTCCTGCCCACCCCATCCTCTGCAGCTTGATCATTCTAATTATACTTGGAGAGGCGTAAAAGTTATGAAGCTCCTCATTATGCAGTTTTCTCCAACCATCTGTCACTTCGTCTCTCTTCGGTCCAAATATTCTTCTCAACACATTCTCAAACAACCTCAGTCTATGTTCCTCTCTTAATGTCAGAAACCAAGTTTCACACCCATACAGAACCACAGGCAAAATTATAGTCTTGTAAATTCCAATTTTTATCCTTTTGGACAGCAGACAAGAAGACAAAAGGTTCTGGACAGAATGGTAGTTCAATCTCCTCTCAACTTCCTCCTGAATCAGGTTTTGATTTACAACTTCTTTATTACAACGATCAGTGCCTAGTTTCGGCTATTAATAGCCATCATCAGGCAAATACATGGTTAACATATATACACCACTGAACCGCAGTACTAGTAAAATTGGATACAATATATTAATTATATAAAATACTTGACGTAAAAATACAATAAATTAGATTATATAAAACAAAAGTTACAGTATAAAACAAGAATAAAATTCTTTGATTGATGTTTTACATCATCGAGTCAGTCATTGGTTTTGTAATTTTGTTGCATTCCCACAGATAAATTGGAATATTCTATATTTTGTGTATATAAAATTGTATAGGAGGCTCATGATTTAGATGTAGTAAATTAATGTAAATCTGAAAATATGAAAGTAACAGTATTAAATTTTGTTATAATCGACAACTAATTTTGGTATTGAAGATATAGTGTATATACTTACTATTTAGTCGGTGCCTCATCTTACAAAGTATTGTCCGTCCTGTAGGGAATGTAAACGACGACTGATTTGGTGATGTAAGATTAAAGTCAATGCAAGGGAGGGAGGGGGGAGGTAGAGATAAGCTGTATGCAGAAGTGGTGGTAGGGGGAAGGGGGTATAACTGTATATTATGTTTTGTATGTATCAATTATTACATCATATATAGGGTTAAACATTTTGGTAAAATTATCATTCAGTTGCAAATTTAGTTTGCTGATTTCGTAAATGTGAAATCTTTCATATGTATCCAAAGTTCAGCCTTTCTTGTCAATATATAGAACCTCCAATGTTTTGTCTATCATACTATATTCATGTGTGGTGTCGATTGTATATGTTAAGCAAATCTGGAGCTTTGTCCATTATTCTTTATGTCTCGTATGTGTTCCCTGAATCTTATCTTAAAGGTACGTCTGGTCTGTCCTATATATTTTAATGGACAGTCAGAACACTGTAGTTGGTAAACCCCACTAAGATTATACATATCATTTTTGTCATAATTTATTTTCAACAGATGTTTTATATTGGTTTTTTGTCTTATATGACATACCAACTTCAGTATTCTTGATAAGTTTAGTAACTGATTTGATTTCATGGCCGAAATAAGTAAAGACAGTCCATTTACTTTACTGTGTAGTATTTTTTGTGGAGGGTTTATGTGTTAGTTGTATGGTATTTAGTTGGTAGTTATTATTATTTAGAATAGTTCTAACAATGTTTTCTTCTATGTTTCTATATTGTTATGTGAAAGGGGATGTTGATTCACTCGATTAATGAGAAAGTTTATGTCCATGATTTATTTTATCCGTCTTCTAGTGCATACATTCATCAATCCCCTCTTCTCACTCGCACTACATGTTTCGGCACAAAAGTGCCATCTTCAGGTGCTGATCCAATCCACGACAAACTAGTTCATTGCATGCCTTGTCTATACATACTAAAATAACTAAAATATATATTTATCATATATACTGATAAATGTTAAGTGTTAAAATATTAAAATTGTNGTATAACACACGCAGTCACAGGAGCAAGACGCAACACAGAGCACAATACACGATAGTGAAAGAGTGCTCCAACAGAAGATGATAGAAGTGACTCGCGTAATGAAACACGACGTAGGAATGAAATATCCTGTACAATTTTAATATTTTAACACTTAACATTTATCAGTATATATGATAAATATATATTTTAGTTATTTTAGTATGTATAGACAAGGCATGCAATGAACTAGTTTGTCGTGGATTGGATCAGCACCTGAAGATGGCACTTTTGTGCCGAAACATGTAGTGCGAGTGAGAAGAGGGGATAGATGAATGTATGCACTAGAAGACGGATAAAATAAATCATGGACTTAAATCAGTGCAACAGGACGCTAAAATATAACATGAGAAAGTTTATAGCAGCTTTTTTTTGTTCAAATGCGTGGCATGAATCATTGTGGATGATTAGATCAGTAGTTGTAGGTTTTCGATAGATTCCTAGTTGTAGGTTTTTGCATGTTTTTCCGATGGATAAATCTAAGAAACTGAGCTTATTATTTATTTATTTTTCTATTGTAAATTTGATATTAGGGTGAATATTGTTGAATTCATGCAATATATTTTCAATGTTAGTTATATGGGAATTATAAATGATTAAAATATCGTCAACATATCTATAATAATCTATTATTTGGTATTTCAACAAAATATCAATGATGGTTGTATGTATCAGGTACTGATTTGTTACCGTTGTTCCCAAATACCTCAACTGTTCCACATTTTCAAAACATCTGTTTCCTATTTTTATGTCATGATTTTGCTCTGCATTTTGGTGATGAGACAGCAACATATACTTAGTTCTCTCTCTGTTTACTTCAAGACCAACCTCCTTACTTGTGTCAATCACAGTTTGTGTGCTTTTCATTATGGTATCTATATTATCACCCAGTAGATTCACATCATCGGCATAGACCAACAACTGATGTGTCCCGTTTAATTTCAGTCCCACCTAGTTTTCCTGGACATTCCTAATGGCATATGCCAAAGCAACGTTATAAAGGAGTGGCGATAAAACATCTCCTTGTTTTAGACCATTCTGGATAGGAAATTTATCAGACAAATGTTTACCTACATGGACTTTACTATATATTTCGTTTAAAAACATTTTAATCAACCTAACCAGTTTCCTGGTTTTCCCAAACTTTTATCAGATTATTGTACAATACTTCCTTCCTAACTGAATCATACGCTTTCTTGAAGTTTTTGAATAGCTGATGTACTGTCTCACTGTACTCCCATTTTTCTCCAATATCTGACAAATGCAAAAGATCTGATCTGTAGTTGATCTGTTACATCGAAACCCACACTGATGATCCCCAATAATTTCACCTATGTATGGACTTAACCTTGAGAGAAAGCGGCCTCTGTACTCTAGAGGTAACATTCCCACCCATGAGTCGTGGTACGCGGGTTCAAACCCGGCAGAGGTCATGGAATTTTTAAGGACGGAAAAATTCAGGGAACCAGTCCTCTGGGAGGGACTTTAAGCCGTGGGTCCCGTGTCGTAGCTTTACGGCACGTAAAAGAACATCATGTCTCCAAAGGAGGTGACACAGCCAAATTCAAGGACATTTCGCGCCCAACAGTAGTCTCTAACGCCTCTGATAGATGGGGGAAGCATTATAGATACCGCCAAGCCAGTAGAGGCCAAACTCGCTGGCACGGTCGGGACTGATGGTACGCACCGATATTGGTAGGGTATAGAGACTGGTAGAATATCATAGAGGGAAGCACAATGGACCAATACTGGTCTAAGTGCATGGGGAAACCCACCCTCTCCAATAACTAACTAACCTTGAGAGAAGAATATTGGATAAAATTATGTATGAAGTTGATAGCAGTATCCCCCGATAATTACTACAGTCAGTTTTATCACCCTTCTTGTGAACTGGTACAATAGATCAGGGAATTCTTCATTATGCCAAATAGAAGTAATTAGCTTATGGATCTCAGAACGTAATATTTCACCTTCTGCTTGAATAAGTTCTGCCAGAATTTGATCACTACCTTGCGATTTATGCCTTTTCAATATTGTAACAGCACTTTCAACCTTAAAAAGGCTAGGATCAGGTACTAACGGCTCAACTATGTGGATTTCTGCCTGCCTAACATCACAGACCCTATGTACATTTAATAACTGAGAGAAGTAGTTCTTCCACCTATTGAAAATACTGTGGGAATCTGCAAGCAGATCACCATTCTCATCCTTCACTAGGTTATGCTAGGTTTGTAACACCTCTTAAAGTAATTTATTCCTCTAACAGGTCTCTAATGATCTTGTTCTTACTGTTCATTGCAAGCTCATCAATATTGTCTTTCAGATATTCCCTCTATTTTTTTCCTGAAATGCCTGCTGGTTTCACATCTTATACTGTTCAGATTATCCCAATTTATTTCATTTTGATCCTGCAACCATTGCAATTTGGCTTGTTTTCTTTGGTCTAATAATTCTGAGCATCCTTCATCAAACCATGGCTTATGCTTCTTCAGTTCATAATAACCTAGACTCTCTTGGAAAAAATGTTGATATTCTCTCTAACAGTTTCCCAAGCTTTATTAACGTCCACCTCAGTTTCCAAGTTTTCCAAAGCTGCCAACCTATTTGAGATTTCAACACAATAC